CTCTGTGTTGTTGTCTGGAAAGGTTTTATTTTGTGGGTGTGAGGCATGAATTTAGAAAAAGAAAAGTCTCGCGTTACATTTATTGTTCAACCCTATGCATGTTAATAGAGGCTTGGATAACATGTTATGTTGTAACATACCATCTAGAATCTGATTAACAGTCAGAATAACTATAGCTTGTTAAAACTTCTGGGTACTGCAAGTTGGAGGTAAACATGCCTAGGAATTTCTTGGCTCTCTCGAGGAAGAATGGTATGCCCTCCTCATTCAAGGAGAATTAGTGTGTGGCTTTAGAGCAAGGAGCAGGCTCCTAAATTACCTCTTTAAGAAAATTGCATATTAATCTGACTTGCATTGTTTGAGGAGCAGCAGCGTGCTAGCATTGAGTTAGTAGAAGAACATACATCAGGCTCCCCCACGCACACACACCTGCCCTTACTTATTCCAAGTGTTTGCCGTGCACACAGCTCCCAGAAATCAGAGATGCCAAGAAATTAGGGCCTGGGAACATACACAATTTTTTTTGTTTGAACTAACACATAAATGTATTATATAAATATAAAAAATATGTGAGCAACTTACGCTCAAAATTGTCTGTGCGTATGGAAATCCACTTTTCTTACATGAAGCCTATTCATTCAGCATCTCATGTCTGGAAAGAGGTGGTGCGCATCTATATGGAGGAGTACTAGTACGGCAAATCTTATCAGCCAGTTTTGATGTTGGGGTGCACAACTACTGTGTATTGGTTTGATTTCATCAAGTAATAACTGGAACAGCAAGAAGTGAATTAGGATCTAGCCTAGCAGCAGTATGAAAAAACTGAACCACAAGAGTCTAACTTCATACAACATGTCTGCTTATTGTATGGGTTTAGGTTGAGTGCCAGTGTTATCAAGGATATTCTGATGTATATTATAAGTGACCTTTGCATGACCTTTAACACTTTCATTGTTATTCCTGCAGTTTCTTGGAATTCCAGTTGGCATTTGGCCCTGGACAGCTAGAAAAAAAGCTACTTCCCTGATGTTGGCTTCAACCATGCAAGGGTGACTAACTGGTGATGTTGATGGCTTTTTAGACTTTCATCCTGGAACTCTTTCAACACTATGGTTTTAGTGGCTTTTTCTTTGCTACTGTGTCAGGAAATACTATGTCGTATTTCATTATTTTTAGTGGAATCCCTTGTAATGCTCTGGTGACCAGAGGAAGTTGCTGAAAGCATTTATCTTGTAAAATTTACTGTTCAAAATGAACTGAGCCCCTCCCAAAGTCCTCTGTAGTGACTACTGTTTCTACACTTAAAAGCCTTTTTTTCTCTTCTTGCTTCCATTTTGATTATGAATAAAACAGTTCAGTGAACATCCTGACTTTAGCAGTAATAACACAAACATTTGTTGAAAAATTTAAAGCAATGGAAACATTTTGTAAATGCTAAGAATTAAGTCTTTGAATATTTAGCATGTAAGTGGAAGAATAGAATCATGGCCATAAAGAAAGGATCTCTCTTACTTTCTGGAAGTTTCATGCCATTTGTCATTTGACACAAGTGCAGCATTATCTCTCCAACTCCCCCCTTTCCCCCCCTTAAACAGAAGAAAATTATTTATTCCACAACTAGTAATGGAAATGGGAGCGGCAGTTTCCTCTTTTAGGCCAAGTATAACATTTCCTGATGGAAAGTCAGTTTAATTTAAAAATTATCTTGGCTTGTGTTTTTGCATAGCTTAAACTTGAACTGTTTGAGTGCAATCTTAAATTGCTTAATCAGTTCAATGTTTTGTGTTGTTGGAATGACCTAAATACCTTTTACTGTAGGATGCCTATGTTTCAGACATCCTGTGCAGGATTTTCCCAAACTGCAAGTATGGCTATGGGAATCCAAACACACTCTTTTCAGGAAGTAGTCATTTTGTAATCTCTTTAGAATCTCTTCCCAAATTTGTATCAGTGGTTGCTGTTGTCTTCCTTTTTAGGATTTTATCCACTTCCTATTGAAAAAATACAGTGGGAGCTTGATCAAGCCCTTATCAAGAGGATGAGAAAGCAGTTTTTCCTGATGATAAAGCAGTGTTATGAGTCAAGCAGGATGTAATTTTTAAAGGTTTTTCCTTGCTTTCACCCATCTTCTGATGAAGCTCTGTGCTGTTCTGTGTCCTATGTTAGTTGAGTTCAGTTTGTCCTTGAAAAGCCGTGTAGACAACTGCTGCTAATCATGCTTTATTTGTAAAAGCCAAGCAATGTTGGAACCTCACAGAGGCATTGTACAAATTAAGTTGAAGATGAACCCAAGAGCAGCCTATTTCTTGTATTGTTTTAAGGATATTTTAATGAAAGTGGGAGGTTTAATCTGAGTTTGTTTGGTTTTGTTGCTCTTCCTCATTTGCAGTCACTTTCCCATTTGTGGTATTTATACTTGCACTGTAACAAGTAAGCATAATTTCTCCCTGCAAATGTGATGCAAAAACTAAGTAGCAGTAAAAGATGAAATGGCATCACCTTGGGAGAGGGATACTCTGGGCTGTGGGATGAATCTCTGCTGCCTGCTACCTGCAGGAGGGATACTGCTTCTGCTCACCATAGAGCGAATTCCTCCTCAAAAGCTAGCAACAAATGTCTTTACACTGATCCTCTGAAGACTAGTTGTAGTCAGTCCTTGTTCTTGGGCACCTTCAGTGTGTTCGTGGGACGCAGATCCTTGCAAACTGTTTGCACATCCTGCTGTCTCAATCTGTTCCCCTGGCAAAAAATAAGGACTTGTGAAGTTCACCAGCAGAGTGAATGCGGATTAGTAATCTGTCTTAACCTCTTGTTTCCAACCTTTGTTATGGCTGAATGTAAACTTGAGCCTGATGCTGGCGTACATTTATGTTCTATTACAATTAACTTATAAACATATTAGCGTAAATTAGCTGGATGGTCTGGGCAGCATGGTTAGTTAAACTCAGTTATTTTAGAGTAGCTCTACTTCTAGCAACTTTCTTGAGCATTAATTATGCTCTTTTTTGCCTTACCCTTTGTTCTCAATTTAATTCCAATTCCTCTTCAGCAGCAGGGTAGTTTTAATGATTCCTATTTCACACTGTTGCTGCAGTGGGCTGCTGTATGATGGATCCAGCTACTTTCCCTCAGCTCAGATAGCCTATTAAGTCTCCCTCAAAAGTTTGAGGCTTACTATACTCCATGCCTCATAAATCATAAAATGTTGATTTGCCCACATTCTGCAAAGCTTAGGAGGATTTCTTCAGTATTCTTGATTTTAATAGCTGTCATATGATCTCTGTGGAGTATATTATTAGAAAAATTGTCATATATATAAATGTATGTCTGCTGGTATCTCATGGTAAACTACTTTTCTACCCATCAGCTTCAGAGTTTCCAGGCTCACATTGAGATTTCTTTTTATTTTGTTTACTGGTGCTCTTATGATATGTTGTACTGAGAGAGGAGCTGTTAACTTAGCATAGAGGAGCAAAGTTTCTTATAAACTGATGCCCTTTTTAGAACAAAACAAAAAAAAAAACCAAAAAACCCCCAAACACCCCCTCAAACAAACAAACAAAAAAACCCAAACAAAGCCAAACCAAACAAAAAAAACCCCACAAACCAAAAATCAAAACAAAAAAAACCCCAAAACCAACAAAAAGGCTTGGCTTGTACACCTGATAAAGGGTGGCCTGCAGCGATGGATTGCTAGCCTTCTTGACCTGACAAGAGTCAGTCAGCATTCACACTTCTACCAAATGCTCAGCACTATGTTAAGCCTTTAATTGAAGAGACTTGTCTGCTTCTGCGTTGCTTCTACTTTGAACTATAAGCATCATTTGCCATAGCATCCTAGATCACAATTTGAGCATCACTGTGCTAGAGGTAGAGTTCTGTTGCTGTTGTCCAGAAGGCATTTTTTTGGCATACCTCTTATTTACACCAAGATTTTGCTGTTTTTGCTTTGTCCACAAAGCTAATGCTACAAACACGTAAAATGGGGTTGATTGTATCCATATTAAATGAGTTGGAGTGCAGATGACTCTTGGGTTTTGCAGAGATGTGACCTACGTCTGTGAGCAGTGCTGGTGAGAACATCATTCTGTAGTTTGTATGGGGTTCCTGTGGCGTGGGTTGCAAGTTGTTTAACAGGGGTAGCTGTGAAACCTTGAGGGACCTTTGATGCCATGCTCGTGGGGTGCATGTTTTGTTCAATACCTCCACCTCCAGACAGCATGAGCTGCTGCAATCTGCATCTGTCTTAAAACAGTCCGATCTTACATGGCTGTTGGGCAGGGGAAGGCATTTTGCTGTGTTGTTGGCTGTTTGAATGGCCTTTCCTTGTCTTTAGGGAAAAGTAGTCTGGATAGATGTATCCCATCCACATTCATCCCCATTACCCCTGCTTGGACCACAGTGATAAGCGACTGCTTTTGAGCAGCAGAGATGTGATCAGGTTTGGCTTGAGGGGTTTGTGGAGGCCCATGTCTAATGAGTATGTGTAGCTGAACGGTTCTCAGACTTGAAGGTTTGGGCTGCTGAAGGAAGCCCTGCAAAGTGATTTGTTTTTTTAAATGGAGTTGTTGAATTCAGAGTGTTGGGCAACTAGGTCTTGCTGTTCAAGTCAGCAGTGCTGTCACTGTTACAGAATGCATGTTCTTGGGTGTGCGCCAGCAGTAGTGAACTTTCAAGTTGTCAGTGGAGTGTGTGCATGGACTTATTTAATGCTACTTCCACTCTCTTGCTTGTAGAAGTCCTGAAATACCAAATGCTGACTATTGTCTTTGTGAAAGGGAGTTGTGGAATCCAGGTGGTTGGTTGTGACAGTCCACTGTTAGTGTTTGGGTGCAGTGGTAACGCCAATTTTATTCTAGGTAACAGTGCTCTCAAAAGGTAAGCTCTTCTGTGCCATGTACATTCATTACATACAATAAACTTCTTATGTGCTGCTCTTGTTAGTTGATCTTTTTTTTTCCTCTCCTCATTACCTTTTGTACTGGCATGTTTAGGGTACTATGGGTAAGTATTTTCCATTTTAAATCAGTGTTTTCTCTGGTTTATAATGAGGCTGTTAACATTAGCTTCAGGCTGAGTGATGGCATGCAAAGTTTTGACTTAATAATGTTGAAATGTGTTGCTGATCTCTTCAGTTCACTCTTTAGAGTGATCCAGAGTTCAGACAGAATTGAATGTAGGATACTACTTTGCCGTCTTAAAGGAAAGCCACTTCTTAAAAGACAAAATTTGAATGAGGTAAACATAGTTTAGACTTTTGCTTGTGTTGGGAAAAGAAATGCAACCACTGATGAAGTTACACAAAAATAGCTAATAGGCATAGTTGGAGAGACTACTTTCCATAAGCATTTCTTCTTCTTGTTGTTTGGTAGGCAAGATGAAACAGAGTTGTTTTTCACTGTACAGAGTGGTTATGTGTTTGCCAAGTAATATAGTAGTCTGAATAAATCTTAGCTGGTAGACCTGCAAGTTTATTTAAATGACTGTTAGAGGGTATGATTTTGAATACCAATGTAAAGTTATGTAGAGGGAGGTTACCTGCATAGGTCTTGCATCCTGAAGACTCCTCAGCTCCCAGAGCAAGCTCTTCTGTTTTGTTGTTTTGTGGTTTGTTGTTTTGTTTTTGTTGTGTTTTTGTTTGTTTGTTTGTTTGTTTTCTCTAAGTAACCTCATTTGCTGGTCTCCTTTTCTGTGAATGTAAACCAGCTCATGTTTTTCCTGACTAGGAGTGTATATATACGGTTCTTAGGGTCAGTGAATCAATATTAAGGAACATACCCATTTTCCAAATACAGTTGGTAGCATATTTCCTAATTTTAGGGCAATGTGTGTGTAGTGGATGAGGCATGCATAGTACATGGCAGAAAGCTATTCAAAAGCTGGTTTGTTTAAGCTTTAGGATATTTCTGTAATCCAGTTCTGACATTGTTATATTTTTCTGTAAGGATAAACAATACCCAGTGGTGATACATGGTTGCATTTCAATCAAAACTTTCAATTGAAAGTGTGAATCTAAAGTGGTGGGGTTTTTTAACCACTCGAATTCTTGACAGCTCAGGTATATTTTAATATATGCGATGCAAGTTTGCATTTTTTAAATACAATAATAGTACTTCGACAAAATGTATGTTCATAAGAATAACCGCTATATTTTAATCTGGTAATGTGTTTGTCTTTATATCATGTTATTGAGTTTTTGACTAGGTAGCTAAAAATTTAGTGAGAAAGGATTATTTTTTTTTTTTTTTTTCAGATAACACAGCAAACTTACGGAGTGAACCTTATTGACTGAATCATAAATGAATGTGGTTCCCCTTAAATGAGAGGTTTTTTCTTCAATTTCTTTTTTTTTCCCCTGTGTCTACAGGAACATCTTAGAATTCAGAATTCAAAATTACTGAGAGAAAAGAGACCAACTGTCTAAAATTTTAGACTGAATTACTACTTATAGTTAATTTAAAAGTTGTATTGTGCTCGTTTTATTTCCTTGAACCACAACACCATATAATCTCAGCATAATTTCTGTGTCTCCACGCCCACCCCCCCACCCCCTGCATTTTACATGGCTTCTTCTGAAAGTTTTTGTTCGTTTTGGTCTCTATTTGTAAAATGCATCTTTGGACCTGGGTATATTGAGGAAGATGCTTTGTAACACTGGGTGACAGTGGAAATTAATTAAGATTGTGAGATGTCATTGATGATGCTTATTTAGTGCAGTAACTTTGCTGCTTATCCGATTCTATTAGTGGAACTCACTGTTCCAAAATCTGGTTTTGACTTGAGTAGCTAAAAGCCGACCTGCTGATGCTTCTCTGCATGTCACTGTCATTTCTCCTCTTCAGTGCCTTACAGTTTGAAGTTTCTTTTCTTTTCTTTTAAAGTATTTCTTTTTTTATGACAAGCATATATACTTGTGTTGGCAAATACTATGTTGTAGTAATGTGAATTTTCATTTGTCAGGCAGCTCTACAGTCCCAGAACGTTTTTAGTTAATAGATCGGACACCGTCAAACAGATTTTGGCAAAAATTGCTTTATAAAATTCACTGACTTCTTAATGCTTTCCTCCTGATGGCACTTTGGCACAGTCCCCTTCCAAAAGTATGACAGCTGAAAATGCTGGGTTTTTGGCTGTTAAATAATTTTTGCCGTGTGTTTGAGGTGAGTGTTCAACAGAAGCAAAATCACTTTGTAAAAGAGCTTCATTTGATACATTGTCTTAATGCTCCAACTGCTTTTCTAAACACATTTTTGCAGAATGCAAAGCCACTGTACATTGAAAATGTCAGCAGAGCTTGAATTACTGGTCACGTGCTGGTTTGAAAACAGTAAAACATTTCCAACTGCAACTGCTGAAGGGAAAAGGTGAAACAGGCCTGCTCCGTGAATAGCTTCTGTAGCGAACACACACTTTTCTGCCTGCAACTCTTTTGTTGTCTTTAGGTAGTAATGAATGAGCTTTTTAGTTTAAAAGTGAAACACTGGTGTTCTTGGGGGTTTTTTGGAATGGGTAAATATTTCCAGCAAAGGTTTGTAACTTTGAGTAGAAGAGGAATTTTCCCTTTGAAGGGAAATACCTGTTTGGAGTGAGGCCTTGCAGGTTTTAGCTGAAGAGACTTTCTGCTCCTTTGGATCCATTGGTGAAATGTCGTTATCCTCGAGTCCCCACACAGGTGATTTCTTTTGCCATCTTCCAGGAGCATGGAACACCTCTCTTCTCGGCAGGTTGGAAAGTACTGCTGGTGAAAGCTTTCTAGCAAAGCACAGTGCATCAATTTTCTACCTGCTACAAGCTTTTCATACTTTATTTGGAGAATGTTAGATGTTTAGGTTAAAAAGAGATTAAGGCTATGTCTGTGGGAGTGGAAGAGCCCTCCCTGTTGAGTACTCCGCAGTGTTGAGGGCAGTGGAGAGGGTGGCATTTGACGTCTGGTAGGTTAAATTATAACAGCCCTACCAGGACTTCCAACCTGAAATTTCCTGTATTGTTTTCTCTGGTGTGTTGAAGCTTTTTTAAAGGTCACATTTGCTAACAACAATTTCTTTCTTTAAAAACACAAACAGAAGAGGAGGAAAATAGTGTTTTGTAATTACCAGGCATAGTACCTCATTGCAGCATAGTTAATACAGAGCTTCTACATTTTAGCCTGCAAGGACAGCTCATGTTTTTGTTTAAACCCTCTGTAATTTAAGAAGAGTAGGTTAGGTAACTTGTTGGTATTCATGCTGTCATTGTTTAGACCAGGATCTGTGTTTATAAATGTTGATTTTTGGAGCATGAATTCTCAAAAAATCTCAGTGGAGAGGGAGGGGAGCCATGAGCTGTGTTTGTGTCTGAATAATGTAGGGACTTAAAGGCAGGCCTGATGTTACCTCTAAATATTTCTGGAGAAATTCGTCTTTCCAGGAAGACTTTAACTTTTTTGAATGCTTGAATTGTATATCGACAAATTAAAGGTGATAATATTGTTGGACTGGCTGGTTGGGTTTTTTTTAAAATCTGTTTAATAGAAAATCTTATTGGGCTATTTTAATGGGAATTAGTAGGAGCTCAGGTACTTACTCAGAGTAGGAAGGGGTGGGATCAGACCCTTTCAGTGTTCAAAGTGTTAGGCTTTTCCTCAGCTCATAGATGAGAGACAGTTTTATGTATGCTTCATAGGAAAGTGATATTAAAAGGAAAAATCTCCTGTGCAGTTTCTTTGGGACCACCAATCCAACTTTCACTTACTAGGAATTAATCTGAAATAAATAGACCTGGCTAAGTTTTAACAAGCCGCTCTCTTTGAGAGAAGGCACTTACAGGAGCATGCTGTGGCTACTTGAAAAACCAAAGGGAAAGGGAGGAGCTCATGAGGCGAGGGACAATTCTGCTCCCCTTGTCTGTGCAAGCGTTGAGTGGAGAGAAGAGCAAGAGTACCATGTATGCCTGGGCTTGTTCGTCCACCCCATTTCCTCTCTGTGCACTTCACAGCTTGCTGCCTCTTCAGCCTCAACTCTTAACTACTTTAACTGGTAAACATCCTCTTGCAAAGTCGAGGTCAGTGTCTGCATGACCTTCTTCAGGGTAGAGCATCAGAGTACTGCAGTTGAATGTAATCGAAACAGTGATGCTGACTGCACAACCTGCTCTGAAATGTACTGTGTAAACAAATGGGAAAAGATGGTTTTCCTCTTTATTTCCTGTGACTGAAGGAGCTTTTTTAAAACAACTGGAGAGCCATCATTCTGGACTAGAGCTATATATATATTCCACCCCACCCCACCCCACCCCCCCGCTTATGCTGCTTCCTACAATACACTGTTCTGGTATTTCAAGAATAGTAAATCAGTTTTCAACTTCGAGAGAGTTTGGTTTTATATTTCCATTCTAAATAGTTAACGTATAACACCTTACTTGTAGTGTCCATCCCAGATTTTATATCCACTGTCTGTTCCAAGTTTAATACTGGTATGGCATATGAAATTTAGTTGTGTTGCCCTGTATCTGTGCCTCTGACTTAATGCTTGAGCTAAAGTCACTGTCGTGCTTATGTAAACATCCCAAAGAAACCCTCAAATTCTGCTATTCAGTGATAAAGTATTGAGAGCCAAACCTGGGCATTGGTGTTGGGCAAACAGGCGTGGGTTTAGGTCTGATCTTCAGTGTTTGAGACCTTGGTTCAACAGGGTGCTGTGTTGACTAGTGGCATCTCTGCGGAAGCAAACATCTTTCTTGTGGTATACCATCCCTTCTGACAATACAAGAAAACCTTCTCTTTTGCCTTGTGCTTTGTTATGCTGGATGGAAAACAGGACCATAATGCAGACTTCTGAAACAGTGCACGCATTCCTCATCCAGCATTATAAACCTGATATCCTGTGTATTGGTAGCTGCAGCAGTTTCCATCTCCAAAGAGCTACGCAAACACAGCCATCCTACTGGGTTGCTTGGGTGAGGGTGAGCTTTAACATGAACCCAGTGGTGTGAGAGGTGAAGGCAAAGAGGTTAAGCGACTTGTGTCGGTGAGTCAGTGGTGGAGTTGAGGCTCGGACCTGGGTTCGTGCCACTAGAGTGCACTACTTCTCTCTTCATTATTGGGAGAGTGGTTAAATTGGCTGGTAGGTGCTGCAGGCTCCCTGGTGGGGGGTTTGGAAAATTGCTGCCAACTTGCTGAGGTCTGAATCAGGTGCAACTCTGCTTCTGCACCTGTCATTTACCAAATAAATGTTTTTCTAACTATCAAACTTCTATGAATGTTGTGATGGAATGGCAAAGAGGGCTTGTAAACTAGCTTTTTACCCTGCTTTTGATTTTATTGGTGAAGAAAAGGCTACGTACAAAAGAAAAGGTTAATCGTATTTGTAATTAAAGCAAGTTCTTTAAGGTATATAATTTCTCAGAAATAGATGATGACTTTTACTTTATTAACAAAAGGTTCTTGATAATGAGATACAGTATTTTATTTACATTATTAAGTTCTTTTTTTTCCCCGCACAGGTTTCCACTTGAGTGGCACAGTGACAGAGCCTGCAATGCAATCGGAGCCAGAAACTGTTTGCAATGTAGCTATCAGCTTTGATCGTTGCAAGATTACCTCAGTGACCTGTAGCTGTGGAAACAAGGACATATTTTACTGTGCCCACGTTGTGGCACTGTCTTTATACCGGATCCGCAAGCCAGATCAGGTCAAACTGCATCTTCCCATTTCAGAGACCCTCTTTCAAATGAACAGAGACCAACTACAAAAATTTGTACAGTATTTGATCACAGTGCACCACACAGAAGTTTTGCCAACTGCTCAAAAATTAGCAGATGAAATTCTTTCTCAGAATTCAGAAATCAATCAAGTCCATGGTGAGTTTAATACTTATTCTTCCTTTTGCTTCATTCCCTTTTTAATTTTGAGCTTTTTTGTGGCATTCAGGAGCGTGACCTGCTGAGGTCTCTTCCAACCTGAATTATTCTGTGATTCTATGGTGTTTACTAAAGAGGATTCTGTTACTGAACCTTTTGCTTTAAGATGTTTAGAAAGCAGTACTTTGGAAGAGAGAAAGGAATCCATAAGCAATAAGCTCGATGTCTTCAGCACTGTTAATATGTGGCCTAGTCTGCTTCATGCTTGTATGTTCTAGCTATGAAAAACTGAGTAGTGGTATTCTTTGTATAGCCGCATCGTTTAAAGGAGCCATCATACCAATGGCATCTTTTTGTTATTTTTTCTTTTGGACTAATCTTCTGACACTTTGATTGTGTAACTTTGTTTTAATGGCAAAGCGTAAAAGCAAGTAAGTGTTACTGGTTTTTTCATTCATTTATTATATTATATACTTTTATTATCCTTTGGGATTTGGTTTCTGTATGAAGTGAGGAGAAATACAAACCCCATATTTCAATGCCTTTTTCCTGTTAGTGCTGCAGCAGCCTTGCAGCATCAGCAAGGGTCTTGATATTTCCTGGTTTTTCTGCAGCACATGGTTTTAAAGGCTCTCAATTTCTTGTACTGAGCATCTTATGTTTGTTAAAGGGTGCTGGGTATGACTTGAGGCTTCCGAGGT